GACATCGTCAAACTTCTTGACGAAGTGAACTTGCTAATGCGCAAAATCCCACCAGAACACCCGAGTGCAAAGGAAAACTTTGTCCAAATAGCTGTCCGTCTATTGAACATTGATCAACATCAACACTGCATTGATCCAGCGATGGCTGGCGAGAGGAAATCGTCCACAGACGTCGCGAACAGTAAAAACGACAGCAATAAAACCACGCGGGAATCGTGCAGAGCAACCTGCCAAGATGGAAGCCGCAAGCAGAGATTTATAATACTTAAGAAGGCACGAGTTCTCCCTGTTATCGCACCTGCCAGGCATCAAACCAAGCATCATCTGGACCCAATTATGACCGTGGCAGCGGAAGGTCCACAGGCGAAGTTTGACAATTCGGGCAGCCTTGAGCTGATATTTAGTCGGAAGGAACGGGCTCGTTTTGTCCGAAGAAGCGCTCATCTACTATTCATCATCGAGTATCTCGTCCTGGTGGAGTATGTCGAAGTGGTAATGCCATTCGTATACTGTAAGATATCTAACGTTTACAAACTCTATTGGACATATCGGTACTAATGCGAAGTCTTACACAGGTCTGCATCAGTTCATACTATTCCACATGCCCAACAGTGCCCATTACCCAGCTTTAGCGGGATTATCAAGAGAAGAGCTCACGTCCAAAATGCTTAGCACACTGCTCTACAGCTGCTTCGAGCTCGGCTCATTTGTTATGCTGATCGTTGTGCTAAAGCGCAAGCTTGGGTATTCCAGCTTGCAACAGCTAGCTTTCGTTCTGGATGTGTATGCGGGTGTGGTTCAGACGAAGCTGAACTTGATATTCGTCTACATCATGCAAGTGTCGTTGGATCACCTTGGTGAGTGTCTTGAGAGCTTGGAAGAACTGAATCGAGATTAACAAATTTGTGTGTGTGAAAGGTGCCGATTTCACGTTTAAATTCGCGTGGCTAAACTCAAAGACAATTCACCGACATTTTGGTGGCAAGGCATAAACTCCCAATTTCTAATGCCCTACCTAAATTAATACCAGTATTACACGGAAATCTGCAGCTCTTACCTTTTTTTCCTACGTCTGGGCTCTTGAATTTAATAACATTCTTTAAGTTATAATTGCTTACTTCGATACAATGAGCCTGCGCTGATCATATGTTGTTTCACTGAAAAGTTTTTAAACAGGGTCCGCAATTTTTTTTTCAAGGAACCAGACGAACAGCTATTTGGACAAAGTTTTCCTTTGCACTCGGGTGTTCTGGTGGGATCTTGCGCATTAGCAAGTTCACTTCGTCAAGAAGTTTGACGATGTCAATCACTGAGACCCAAAACTGGAGGAGGTCTACTGCCATGATCGTTGCTGTGGATGTCCAAGAAGAAGCGGTCTGGAGAACATTCGATACGTAAAGAGCGTTGTAAACTTCAACGACGAAGACGACACACTGAGGTTTTTGGTCATCATCATCGGCAAGTGCACGGCTGATCCAATTCTTGGCGATAATCTGGATAATCGGTAAGACGGCGACGAAAACTACTTGATGCATGCCGGTAAGCGATACAAAACCCAATATGTACAAGGGGTAGACAAAAGGAAGCGTAGTTTGGCAGTTGTAAACGACGAGCTGTCTCTTGACATCCACCAAGGTCGAAGGATCATTTCTCCACTGGGTTCCAGAGATGTTTGTGAAGCAAATAGCAATCACGATAACGAAAGGTGGACCGGCGATAAGTAAGCCAAACGGGAGCGGAAAGACGGTCAGAGCGCAGAGACCGAATATGAACAAGATGGAAGCTGTAGCTGCCAGTATAGAAACCCAAGTTATCTGGAACCTCGTCAACTGCAGACGAGGCGCTCCGTGGCCCATCTGGACTAGCGCCGAAGCACCCATAAAGCAGAGTATAACCCATGCTCGGGCAAAGAAAACTCCATTTTGTAAACTCCGGCTTCAGCTGGAGAAAGTGGTGGTGTCTCTTTTAACAAGCTCAGCACGAGGCACGGCATTGGAGTCAGCACACAAGCCAGCAGAATTCGTCGATTATGGAGGCCAGTCATGTAGAATCCAAGCTGTCGAATCCGCTCCATCGAATAGCTGCCTTGGTACTCCACTTGAAGCGAAATCCATGCCTCCCAGAGACGCTGTCGAGCGCTTCGATGCCTCCCTACCATTCTAAAGGGTTTGTACGAGTCACTTCACGACTACGATCCATATATAGCCTCAGTATTATTAATAGTAAATGCCGCTACAGCTTAGGGCACATCTAACGTAAGAGGTAGGGTTCTGCGCAGTTTTAATCTACATAGCTCACGGTATATTTTTAAACACCAACAAAGTCGTGCCTAGCTCTAAAATTGACGAAATTTAAGTTGAATAAGCATCGAAGGAGGGAATCTATACCACCGACCATCGGGGTCGGTGACCAACGTTTCTCCTGGGCCTGCTTCGGAATTGCAGCTTCTGCTATGCAAAGGTCGGACAATACAGTATAAATTGTATTGAAAAAAATCGCTGTGCCATAATACATGAAATCACAGTCATACCTCAGTAACCGAGCCTCTGGCTCTTTATTCTCTAAATGTTACAGCAAAAAGTGTATTTAGTGTGGGTGAATTGGTATTAATAATGTGGGTGCGTAATTAGTAGTGCCCACACTATTTCGGCATTTCGACCTTCCCACACTGATTAAACACCCACACTAAAAGTGACTTCAATTAGTTGAATTAACTTAAAGCAATTTAACCACGCCGACCTTTTGTGGTTGAAAGCTGACGAGTCCGTGAAGGCACCACCAAAGGGTATGCCGTCGTCGTGTCAATGACAAAGTCCGCAGCTTCATTGGCTGTGGCTTCCATGTCGACTGTTGAGAAGGTCAAACGGTCTCCAGCCTTGCTGGTCGTGAGCACGCCAGCTTCGCTACCTGACAAATGCAGATGCCCATATTTTGCCGCAAACGTCTACGCACCCATTGTGATATTCGGCTCCTCCGACAACTGGCACCAAATTACATTCAAGCCGAACCACGGTCCACGATGACCAAGGCTCTTAGCAACATGCCACTGTGGGTCCCACCCACTGTAAGGCAAGGACTTCAGAGTAAAACCGTATCGAGTCGAGCGACATTCCACCACTTGTACACTGGACGCGATATTTCATATCTGCCAAAGGCCCCAGCCGCCGCACTCAAGCGGCGAAATGGCGAATAATTCGGCCATAGAGTCAGGGGTTCCGAAAATACTATTATTTTAAACACTTTTGTATTTAATCGAAAAATTATTTATTTTTAGATTTGCTTAGAAGGGCTGCAATATTTGTTTTGTGCTCTGTGTCGCCAATAACTCTATTGCGAACCGGTCTCCTGAGACCGGCTCACAATCACTTCTTCGCATGGAGCACGTTCATCGATTTATGGCGCATCGTCCTCCAACAATTTAGCATTTTTAGCTGGAGCAATACACTCACAGCCCATTGTCTACTCTACTCAATACGATGCCTGCGAAGACCCCGTGGAGCGTTCCAAAGCCGCGTCGAAAGGCAGCTTCCGCCCCGCCCAGAGCGCCAAAGAATGCCAAGAAGGCCAAGACGTCGAAGAAGATGGTCCGCACGCACCCGTTCACGTCGAAGCAAGTGTCATCTTTCTATTTCACGGCTGTACTCGACGATGATGAAGAGCCTACTGCAGTATACAAGTGTCGCTGTGGTGTCCAGCGCCGAATGGAGCCTAACACTGGCTACACAAATCTACTTGGCCACGTCTTCATGTGGCACACAAACTTCGCTGCGGACATGACAAGCGCCAGCTCAAATACGGAAACGTTAGTTGGGTTCGTCGATGACAAGACTCACAAAGTCTTCACTTGGATTGACGTTGTGCTCTCGTGCAATCTGCCCTTCTCGTTCTGCGAGACAGACGCGGCATCTAACTACGTAAGGATTGGGAGCCGTTCGACGGACAGCCTCGTGAAATACATGTGCCTACTAGTCCGGGAAGTTGAAACTGTGATCGCTAGTATTCTGCCAAAGTCGTTTGGCATCATTTCGGACGGTTGGACCTTCCGTTCAGAGCATTACGTCGCCGTCTTTGCATCCTTTTGCCACGATGGCAAAGTGCAGAACATTTTGGTCGCAATGGCGCCACTTGTCGACGATGAGGTCAATGACCACACAGCCCGCAGTCACGTTAAGTTTCTGGACACAATTCGCTCTTACTATGGCCGGAGCAAAGCCAATATTGTCTACATTGTCGGAGATAATTACTCCGTGAACAGTGCTGTTGCCGATCTGCTGCAGGTTTCGATGGTGGGCTGTGCCTGCCATCATCTGAACCTGGCGGTAAACTTGCTCCTCTCTGGCGACGATGAGCTGATCACTAAGATCCCGAAGTTGACGTACAAGGTGAAGAATTCGCTGTTGGTGTCCGCAAAGTTACGGTGGGTTAATTCAACTAATTTTAGTTTTCTGATATCTGATTATTTTTTGTTATGCTAGGCGAAAAACACTTCTTCGACCAGTCCCTAAGCAGGACACTCGCTGGTCATCGACGTTTGTCATGATGAACAAATACTTTGAGCTGAAAGAGTTCATCAGTGATGACATTGAAGAGGAGCTGGCGGAGTTTATGCCAACACGCCGAGAGGAAAAGCAGCTGAAGACGATCCTCAATACCCTCAAGATGTACGAATCAACCTCTAAAAAGCTGCAAAGTGCGGACGACATAACGCTACTCAGCGTGCGCGACCTCTTTGACGCGCTTATTGCTCAGAAACCCGAAGTCGCCAAGTACCTCCAAGCCGACGCAGAGATCGTCAAGAGTCCTGTCTTCGAGCGAGCTTGTGAATGTCCTGCTGGGTCGTGTTGGATCGCTGTCTGACGATGAGAAGATTATGCTTGAGCCGCTAGCCCCGGAAGACGCTCCTCCATCGCGTTCGTCGGAGACAACAGCGCTAGGTAAAGGTTTTGCCGCAATTGCGCTCGAGCAGGCGAGACGACTTCGTTAAACTACTTCACGCTTTAGCGATCAAGTGTCTATGATCGCTCCGACTTCCAACATCGTGGAGAGATTCTTAGTCAGGCGAAGGCAGTGGTTGGAATGCACCGCCAAGCCATGACTCCACTGCATCTCGAGAGTATTCTCTTTTTAAACGTGAGCCGCACGTACTGGAGCGCAGCCACTGTGCGCAAGGTCGTTCGGGGAGCGCAATAATCTCCCAATACTTATTCTCCATACAAACGCCTATATATTTCTTGCAATATGTTCAATTATTGCAGGCACCTCTGACGGAGAGATAGGTAAAATTATTTGTATCGCTGAATCCTCCAACAAAATATAAATAGCATTTTCGGAACCCCTGCATAGAGTACCACGACATCGATGTCGAGTTCTTTTCCCAAGCGAGGTACCAGCGCCTTTACCATGCAGTCAATGACCGACAGCCCACAGCGTTATTCCACGCTGCCAAGAGCTTGAGTAGCGTCGTGCTCGATTAAAAATCATCCAGACACTTGAGCGACGACGAGATTGGCGTGGCAGTTTGCGCGACAGTGTCTCCAAAGGTTCACTTCCGACTGAAGGTGCGGTGGGGATTGATACTTGCAGCGGCAGCGGTGGCAACGGTGGCACTGGGAACCGCTCTATTCTTCTGCTATGGCGACGGTATCAACCTCGGCACGTTCTTCTCCGGCGACAAGACGGACGCAGAAAAGAAAAACCTGCTGGACAGCTACAATGCTGTGAGCGGTACTCTGGTATCGGCTGCGCTGTGTCCCATTGAAGTTTTCGTCTCTATGTACATCGCTGTCACGTGTATGTGCTTTGCAACTGACTGGATGCTTCGCCGCGGCGTCAATGACATGGTACGATGAGTTTCAAGGAGGGATGAACTGGCAGCTCGACCCCCCCGTTGCTCTGATTTGGGTTCCAGGCGCAAGAATGGCACCACGGAACGCTTGGAACCGCAGTTGTTCCCGATCAAGAGTTGGAAATCTCTCTAGACCGCGACGAAATGTTAGGTCTTCCCGGTGATTCGGCGCTTCCGATGAGTGTCGCCAACGCCACATATCTGGTCTTAGTAGCGACAGAAGTACTACCGGAGCTGCTGGAGACAGTTTGGAGCGTGTTTCCGGTAGGTTACGACACGTTTCGAACCGCAATTGATACGAACTTTTCCGGTGTTGCTGGTCAAGATCCAAGATACCCTGCTGCCGCATTGCTCGGAGTCTCTGAGACGGATTTTGTCAGGACATCTACTCGACAACTACGGGGGATGCTGGCAAACTCGTCCAATATTCCGATCAACGACGTTGAAATGACATACAGAAGCTTGACACTGAGCGAATCGGTCCAGTTCAATGCTCTGACGCTCGAGATCCCGACCCTGCCGCTTGACGACGATGGTATCGACCCAACTGTCAGCTATCCGGACGACTGCAACTCCGACGGCTGCTTCGCACGGAGATGTTTTGGCACGGACATCTTCGGTATCCAACCTTCGTCTATGCCGCCGCAATATGCCTCGATATCAACGGAAGTGAGGCGTTGAATGTCGAACACCATTTGTTCGCTGATATTAAGACTGAGGCGTGTCCACAGCGCTCCAATACGTCTTTGTTACTCGTCGGATTGGGCGAGCGTATCGATGGTGATACAAGGACTACGCAGAAGATTTCCCATACGGCGATCTCGTTCAAATGTGGAATATCCAGATGGTGTACTCGGTGACTATCGGGCGGCTGTCATGGGCAATCGGAGACTAGGCACTAGCGTTTTCCGCCTAATGCAGCGTATCGTCTGGCTGTACTGGCATCCGTCCCCTGCTCAACCCTTCTTGACCGACTGCAAGTGACGTGCTTATCGCGGGCTATGCTGCTCTACCACTAGATAGACTGGATTTCTTTTCTATCACACGATTTCTCGAAGGTCCGCCCATGACATGGACAAGTCTCGTGTCTCTCTCTGGGCACATGAATCTTGGCGTACAAGAGCTGCTTCTTCCTCGGCGGTTCACGACGATTACGGAGGCGGGAGGCAGGCTGCGCAACACTTCGACTTATTGTAGTCGATACATTGACAAGTACATCAAGACTGTCGAGAAGAATCCCTTCTACGCCGAGCAGAGCTTGCAAATGACGTACCCAACCGGCTTCTCTTTTATTGTTTGAGAACGCGAGGCAG